TACCTGCTGCACCACTATCTCTGTGTGTGTGTGTGTGTGTGTGTGTGTGTGTGTGTGTGTGTTGCTCTCTGCTCAGGGGTCGTTCCTGCCACTGTTGGGGTATGTTGGTGTGTATGCACGCACACGTGCTTATTTCTGGCTCTGTGCTCGGATCATTCGTGCCAGTATGATTGAACCTAGGTTGGCTGTGTGCAAGGCATGTGCCCTTCCTGCTGCACCATCTCTCTGGCCCGTGTGTGTGTGTGTTGCTCAGTGCTCAGGGGGGTTTTCCTGCCAGTATTGGGGTATGTTGGTGTGTATGCACGCACATGTGCTTATTTCTGACTCTCTGCTCGGGTCAGTCATGCCAGTATTGGGGCAACCTGTGCCATAACGGGTAAAACCCAGGTCACCTGCATGCAGGTCGTGCCATGACAGGGATAAAACCCAGGCCACCTGCATGCAGGCAAGTGCCTTTAACTTCTGTATTATCTCTCTTGCCCTAATTTCACAGTTTTAAAACAGTGACCACTAAACTCAGATCCTCTAAGAAAGTACTTAGGATTTTAGGAATTTTAGTTTTGGCTGGAGTCAAAATATAAGATTTTCTTTGTTTGGATTTTGGACCACTCTGCCTGACTCTGGGCTTATTTCTGGTTTACTCCTAGTTCTGCACTCAGGGATTATCCTGGGGGGATTTGGGGGTCCATATGGGTTGCCATCAATTGATCCCTGGTTGAATGTTTACAAGACAAGCTTCTTACCTGCTGTGCTGTCTTTCTGGTCCCTGAATGCTCAAGATTTACTCCTGGGTCTGTGCTTAGGAGTCACTTCAGCAGTTTTTTTAGGAGACAGTACACGAAGTCTGGTTTCAGGATGTGAAGGCAAGTACCTTAATCCCTATTCTACCTCTGTGATCTCTATTTTTTTGTACTTTGACATGTTTAGAGAATTGTGTATTTTATAGGCTTGTTGGTCCTGGTTAAGAAAAAGATGTGTAGGGCTAGAGAGATAGTACATTGTGTGGACATTTGCCTTACATATGGTTGACCCGGGTTCGATCCCTGGCATCCCATGTGATCCATCAAGTATTGACAGGAGTAATTACTGAGCACAGAGCCAGAAATAAGCCCTGAGAGCAGCTGGGTGTGGCTCATAAACTATTAAAAGAAAAAAGAAAAAGGTATGTAATGTTTAATAATTCATAATAAAAAAGTTATTTCTTCTTACAAAAATTAGATGTATTTCTCCTGTGGATTTTGGCAATAGTTGAAAATAATTTTTTATTTAATGCTTAGCTGGTCTTCAATTATGCCCCTAAATATTTTTGTACATTCTAGTGTTAAAACTTTCTCATTTGTTGCTGATCAGACTTGGGTTTTATTTATTTATTTATTAGAGATGGCATTTAGTTGTAGTCTTGTGTGAAGATCAAATGCTCTACATGTTTGAGCCCTGTGTTTGATCTCAGGGATTTGGTGGAGGTTAGGGTGTGGGGAGAGAGGATATTAAGATGCATTAAATATGTGGTTGAATGATGCTGTATGGAGTAGGTGCTTGATGATAAGATTGTTATATCTATTTACAAAATCTGACTAATCTTTAACAGCTTTTGAAAGGGGATATTAAAGTGAAGATGTTATATTTTCCCTTGTGTTGGAACTATGCCACGTCGACTATTTGTTGTAGTATGAAATAAGTAGTAATTACATAGTTTTAGCTCTTCAGTTTGAATAACTTTAATATGTCCCTCCCCCCCCCACATCTCTTAGTTCAAGTATTTAGGAATTTAGTGGTTTCACATTATATATAATGGTAGGTAAATATTTTTCCTTGTCTTTAGTATACTTGACATTAGTTCTCCTTTGTTGAAATTTTAAGCTAATATATAATGAAGTTAGATTTTTATTGCACATAGAAATTAGAGTGACCAAGAGAGAAAGTTAAGGCCCACCTATTAGAATTTAGTGTTTATGTATGTGCGCTTTTTAAAGAAAAAAAGTGTCATACTAGAATTTGTTTGTAAAACCAAGTCCAATTTTGTAGCTGAGAAGGAACTTATCAGCTAAACTCAAGGGAGTTCATAATTTCTTATTTTTCAGTGGCAACCTTCAGCCTTATGCATTTCTGTTGAAGTTAATGCCTTACCTTGTTTCATAATAAAAAATTGTTTTTGAGGATAAAAACTTCTGCATTACAGTCTTCTAACTTCTTTTAGTAAAGATTTGTTCAGTCCCAAGCATCACAGAAATGAACAAGGAGTGGGGGATTTAAGACACTATAGCATAAATGCAATTATCTATTGGATACATTCTTTAGGTTTGATTAAGAGTAGAGAAGAAAGGATATTAATTTCGTATGTCAGTTCTGAATTTCTTTGGTCATTTGTGTCGACAAAAAGAAAGTTTAGAAGTACAGAAAAAAGGAATTATGAGATACCATTTTATAAACCTTAAATTTTTTTTAAAGGGGAGTGCTAAAATGATGATAGTATTAAGTTATTTGATGAAATCTTTTGGTTATCTAATAAAGCTTTAAATTTTCATCATTAAAAACTGCCCCTTTTTCTATTGTATACTTCTTTGCATTGTTACTATCTAATGCTTATGTGCTCATGTGCTAAAACTATCTTTAAATGAATGTATAGAAAAGAACTTTATTCCCTCTGCAGGGGAAACAGGGTGAATAAATTGTCAACTGCTGTATTCCACAATATTGGGTGTCTGTGGAAGGTAGAAATACATCTTAAAGGATTTTCCCCCCCAACATGGATCTGAATACATAAGTAAATGTACATTTATTTAGTTGTATATTTACTTATACATTTACATACATAAACATATAAGCAGAACAACTTGTATATAAATGAGTTTGTCTATAACGAGAAAGATAAATGTGATCATACATTTAATTAGAAAAGTGTATATAATACTAACCTTTTACTATTTTAATAGTAATTCTAAATTCTAATAAAACACTGCAACATTGCGTACTATTACCACTTCATATGCCCTAAATTTGTGAGCAGTTAAGAAATGTCTCTTATATGTAGTAATGCAAAATAGTTTGCGATTCTGTTATTTTATAGGATATTTTTCAAGGTTTGTATTACTATGTGTATAATTGTGAGAGTGAGTAATTATGGGATTTCATTCTTATTTTATATTCTTGAGCTTAAAAGAAAAGTATTCTTGGAACTCACAGAAAATGCCTGGAATAAATACCACTTGAAGAATTATATATATTTGATCTTAAGCATAATTTAAAATTTAATTTTATAGTTGTTAGTTGCTTCTAATGTTACTAACACTTCATGCTAGATATTGAGAAGAAGGATCAGTGTAGATTGTTCAGTCAATAAACATTGAAAGGTTAATAAGATCATTAGAAGGTTATTTACTACTAATATTCTTGAGTTTTATTTTCTGTCAGAGTTAGTCCAATTACCGACTTACAACTTTGTTTTAGCAATGTTTTTGGGCCCTACTTGACTCTGTTTTTATATGACTAACTTTGGTAAATAAGATACTGTTCATAGAGATGAATTTTACTTTTGCTCTATTATGTATTTAGGAAAGTTGAATTGCATCTTCTCAGAATTATTTTCAATAGTATTAGTAAAGTCATAGATAAATTTCATTAATCCTTCTGTGCTTCTTTTAAAATATTAAATTTATTTAAAAATTTTTATTATTGTGGTTTGAGGGCCATACCTGGCGGTGCTTAGCACTTTGCTTCTGGTTCTGCACTGGGATCACTCCTGGTAGTACTCATGGAACCATATTATGTGCTGGGGATTGAACCCAGGTTGGCCACATGCAAGGCAAATGCACTACCTGCTGTACTTTTATCACTCTGGCCCAAATTATATCATCCCCGTAGAAAATCTTCAAAGTTAATAATTCGCCCAAGATTTTTATTGTTGTTTGGTGTACTCTTGAATTGTAAATGTGTTGTGAATAACTTTGTAGATGGTGACTTTTGGTGTTTCCCCTTACATCTTAAAATTTCGTTCTCAGAACATGTTTGGAATTATATTCAATTTATTGCTTATGCCATTATTGTTAGAGAAAAATATAGTATAGTAATTCATATTATGACAACTGGGTTTGATTGAAGTATATATAAAGAAAAATATGTTAATAACTTAATTGAAGTAGTTACAAGGAAAACTATAGTACACATAATGATATACCTGATAAAACTCAGTCATATGAAGCTTTCATTCAAGTTTGGTTTGAAATTAAGATAGCAAATAATTTGGGCCAAAATTTGAAGTATATTTAAGCAATATAGAATATTTTATTTTAGAGTTATTGTGGAATATAAGAGCAAGTTTTAGTATAGCTGAAGGCATTCTGAAAATTACATGGGTTAACCTTTTATAGAAAGATGATAGCATTGTTGATATTGGGAGAACTGCCGTTGGTCATTGCTGTGGTTCGAGAAATATAAGCAATTTGAGACCCATAGCCATTTGTGTTTTTTACCAACTACTTATAAAACCTGGTGTCTTTAAAACCTAACACTTTTAAGTAAATACAGCATAAAGCAAAAGGATTTTAGCAATAGCCTTTAACATTTTAAAAATCCTGTACGAGCTGCTTGAAATTAATGATAGTTTATTCCTATGAATAGCTGAAACCTGCAATATAATGCCTTTATATAATCAAGATATGTCATGTTTCTTATTTAGCATGTAAAACTATAGTTAAATTGTACCAAAGCTATAAGTGATTTAAATAAATAAAACTTTTGTACTCTATTTTTACCTTGGGGTAATATATCTTGTACTCATTTTATTTGTGGGTGATAATGTTTCAGTTCCTAATAATAAAAAAAAGAACATTTAATAATTACTAAGTAACAGGTTTTCTGAGTGGAAGAAATAATGGAACTGGGAAAATAAGAAAATTTTATTACTATATATTGTAACTGTTAAGTGCTTACATTTCCCCCCACAATATTGTCTTGTACTGTATGATTTTTCAGCATTTAAGAAGCGGTTTTGTTCTTTATAGCTGAACCAATAACGTTTCCATCTGGAGGAGGCAAATCATTTATTATGGGTTCTGATGATGTTTTGTTAAGTGTACTGGGCCTTGGAGACCTTGCAGACTTGACGGTAACAAATGATGCAGACTATAGTTATGATGTAAGTGCAGTTTTATTTTTAATTTTTTTAATGGTTTAATAGACAGCTCCTTATTTTTTTGGAAACAACATAAAACAGAAATAATTTTCAAGGTGCATGGAAAAGATAAGTTTAGTGTGTGTCAGTATGTTGATTTGAAGTGACATGTAGTTTTCTTTCATAATTGCTTTGTGGTATTTAAGTTTTTCATAGGTATTATGGTGTATTAGCTAGGACTTTTGGGTGATTGATTACCTTAATGTATTGGTGATACCTTGAGTAGTCAACTCTCAACTACCTACTCACATTAAGCATATATTGGTGCTAATAAGGAAAAAACCAAAACGATAACCCTAATTCTATAATTGCTTCTGGGATGCTCTTTGAAAATCCCATTTTACTTTCTTTTTTTTTTTTTTAAAGGATAAAGTTAAAGTTAGTATATCATTTCTGTAATACTTAGTCCTTGGGAGATGAGATGTGGATGGAAAGGGAAGGTGGGAAGGACAGTGTAGAGGTAAAGCTGGTCTTGCATTAAATTTTGCATACAGCACTCAATTGACAGTAAACTATACATTAAGATGTCTGTAGTAATGAATTAGATTTTCAGCACATCAGTTTTTTTTTTCTTTTTGGGGGAGGAGGGAAATATTTCATTATCATTTTTTTACTGTTACAAAACTGTCATATTTGAGTTTCAGTCATACAGTGATTGAACACCCATCCCTTCACCAGTGTACATTTTCCATCACCAATGTCCCCAGTATCCCTCCCCCTCTTTTTTCCTTTTATAGCAAATACTTTTTTCCCCCATACTTATACTTGTGTAAGTATACTTTTTAGAGACATCAGCTTTAAGCTGGATTATACTTAGTAATATTTTTAAAATAACAAGTAATTAAATGTTAAGTTTTTATTTGAAAATGATTTCATAGCTTATATATACAGAAGGAGAAATGAAGGTTAAAAAACAATTAACCTCTGACTAGTATCAACATTAATGAAAATGGGAGTAAAATATTCTTAAATTATCTTTAGTTCACACTTTTGGAAAGTACCTTATCTTGAAAATTTTCACATGCTAATTTTTTTTTTTTGGAAGTAAAGCAAATTTTATTTGGAGGTTTTGAAGGGGAGGAGGGAGAGAAAGTGAGAGAGAGTAGAGAGTAATGCGCTCAATAGAGAGTGCTGGCTTCCCCAAAGGCAGAGAAGCCCACTTACTAATTTTTTTTATCTTTTTTTTTTGCTTTTTGGATCACACCCAGTGATGCACAGGGTTACTGCTTGCTCATGCACTCAGGAATTATTCCTGCTGGCAGTGCTCGGGGGACCATATGGGATGCTGGGAATTGAACCCGGATAGTCTGTGTGCAAGGCAAATGCTCTACCCGCAGTGCTATTACTCCAGCCTGTACCAGATTTTATTTGGAGGTTTTGAAGGGGAGGAGGGAGAGAAAGTGGGAGAGAGTAGAGTAACACGCTCAATGGAGAGTGCCGCTTCGCCAAAGGTGGAGAAGCCCACCTTTGGTACTAATGTTTTTACTATTTTTTTTTAATGGCAGTTGTACTGTTAGAATGGTGCACTTGGATTTTTTAGAGAATTTATGTAAATCTTACTGTTTCCATGTAAGATTTTATACCATAGTACTTTTTTTTGCTACTCTCTGACATTTTAGAGGACCTTTTGGTTTAGCTTAAATAGGTAAAATGACATGTTTGACCTTAGTATTTAAAAAAGTGATACAATTAACAATTTTTATTAAGTGATAAAAGATTTGTTGAAAAGATTTTTAAGGTACATTAAATTTCCACTGGACTTTTTACCAAAGCACTTCAAGTGTGTTTTAAGCACTCCTAAAAACTCCACTGGTCTATCAGCTTATTCCTTTTACCACTAAATATTGTACTCTTTCTTTTTTAGTTGCCTGCCAATAAAGATGCCTTTCGAAAGACATGGAACCCCAAATACACACTACGTAGCCATTTTGATGGAGTCCGGGCATTAGCATTTCATCCTGTAGAACCTGTGCTGGTTACTGCCTCTGAGGACCATACTCTAAAACTATGGAACTTGCAAAAAACAGTTCCTGCCAAAAAGCAAGTATTTCAATATTAGCCTATATTTATTCCTTCCAAATTTGCAGATTTATTTTTATTTATGATTCCATATATTTTACACACTGATTTTATGTCAGCCTGTGGTTTCTGGTTGTTTAACTTTTTTCCCTCTTTCTTTAGGAGTGCCTCTTTAGATGTAGAGCCTATCTACACATTTAGGGCCCATATGTAAGTTCTATTAAATTATTACTTAATATCATAGTTGCTAGCTATTTATCAATTATAAACAATATAATTCTTATGTTTTACATTTTAAAATTGGTAGTTGAGTATTAATTTGTTTAGTAATTATTGAGATTAATTAGTGTTCTTCAAATGTTTGTTTAGATACAATTTTTAGATATTACAAAAATTTAGAGGCTAAGAGGTTGAGTTTCTTCTTAGGATTTATGAATTACTTTTCTCATTTTTCTGTTACAGTGGTCCAGTTCTGTCATTAGCTATTAGTTCTAATGGAGAACAGTGTTTTAGTGGTGGTATTGATGCAACCATTCAGTGGTGGAATATGCCTAGCCCTAATGTAGATCCTTACGATACATATGGTAAGTAAAAGGCTCCCCAACATGGGGTTTTGTTTTTTGCTTTAGGTAATGGAGCTGAAAAAAGTAATAGCGTAAAATATTGTCATTATTAAACATCTTTTTGTTCTCTCATTTAGTTCTTATGTCTGTTAACATTTTATTTTGTTTTAAAAAAAATCACATTGCATCAATGGTTTATGAATTGGCATTTGCTTTCTGGTGTCCCCAAGAAACCTATTAAACCTTTAACTTTGGTCCTAATTACAAAAAATAAATTGATGTAAGGGAAGAAAAAGATCAGACTTTTTTTGATTTTGTTTTGGTCCAAACCTGGAGGTGCTCTGGGGCTATTCCTTTCTCTGCACTTAGGAGTCATTCCTGGCAGGCCCTGGGGACCTTACCGGACACTGGGGATCCAACCTAGGCTGCTGTACTATGGCTCCAACCCCCAAAAATTCAAACTTAAGATATAGTTTTTAACCAGAAGAATAGTTCAGTGGCTTAGATCATCTCCCTTGCAAATGTATGATGATGAGTCCAAATCATTGGTGCCCAATATGTACAAAGCATGGACCTGGCCGTTCTCTTAATTGAGCCTGATACTCTGCTGTCTACACATTCTGGGCACTACAGTTTCTGACCTCACTGCAGCCACCCCACAAAAAGGAGTATGACCTAGGCAAGTGTAACCATATTTGTCAGCAACACAGCCAATGATCAAGTGCCTGATGACAAGGTGTGTGAGCACCATAGTGACTCCTGATGAACACCACAGCCACAACTTCAGTGCCCCAACTAAATGTGAGAGCCATGGTGGGCACCACCATCAAATGTATGAGCACTTCAGTCCGATGCCCATGCCTAGTGAATATTGCAGCAAGATGTGCAGCCACCACAGACAGGCATGTGGCAATACTGTCATCATCATCATCAACAAAGGGCGACAGGGATGAAGATAGGGAGATAGTGCAAAGGACTATGGTGCATATGCTTTGCATACTGGAATTCTGGGTTTGCTCCCAGAACTGCGTGCTTCCCTATAACCACCATGCCAGAAGTGACCCCTGAATAGTGCTGGCATGGCCTCAAAACAAAAAGAAATAGTTTATGTAGTTTGGCCAACCCAGGTTCGATTCCTCCGCCCCTCTTGGAGAGCCTGGCAAGCTGCCAAGAGTATCATGCCCACACGGCAAAGCCTGGCAAGCTACCCGTGACGTATTCAATATGCCAAACACAGTAACAAGTCTCACAATGGAGACATTACTGGTGCCCGCTCAAGAAAATTGATGAACAATGGGAGGACACTGCTATGTAGTTTGAAAATATTTAGTGGAAGATGCTCATTAGTAAAATGAGTATAGCACTTTGAGGACAAAAGTTTTTTTAATTTACTCTTGGAGAGCCTGGCAAGCTACCAAGAGTATCTCGCCTGCACAGCAAAGCCTAGCATGCTACCTGTACCGTATTCGATACGCCAAACACAGTAACAAGTCTCACAATGGAGAGACGTTATTGGGCCCACTCGAGCAAATCGATAAACAACGGGAGGACAGTGCTACAGTGCTACCAAAAAAAACAAGTGAGAGTTGTGAATATGACTCAACAGTTAGAGCATTTGCTGTGTATATGTGAGAGGCTTGATTCCCTGCTTGCCCCAAACTTTTAATTTATTTATTTATATTTATTTAATGGGCTGGAGCAATAGCACAGTGGGTAGGGCGTTTGCCTTGCACGCAGCCAACATGGCCGACCCGAGTTCGATTCCTCCGCCCCTCTCGGAGAGCCTGGCAAGCTACCGAGAGTATCTCGCCCGCACGGCAAAGCCTGGCAAGCTACCTGTGACCGTATTCAATATACCAAAAACAGTAAAAACAAGTCTCACAATTTGTTGTGATATGTTACTGGTGCCCGCTCGCTTGAGCAAATTGATGAACAATGGGAGGACAGTGCTATTTATTTATTTTACTTTTTGGGTCACAACCCGGCGTTGCACAGGGGTTTCTCCTGGTTCTGCACTCAGGAATTACTCCTAGCGGTGCTCAGGGGACCATATGGGATGCTGGGAATCAAACCTGGTTCAGCCGTGTGCAAGGCAAACGCCCTACCTGCTGTGCTCTCTTTCCAGCCCTCCCCCAAACTTTTTAAGAAAACAGAATTTTGAGGGCTAGAGAGAAAGTACAGGGATTACCTTGCTTGTCTTGCATACAGATGTCCCTGGTTTGATTCCTAACATCACTGTGGTTCCCTGAGCCCCACCAGGATTGATTCATGAGCACTGCTTTGTGTGGCTGCCAAACCACAACCTCCTGTCCCCTGCCCCCAATCCTAAAAACATTTGTTCAAAAAATCCAAAATACCACTTTCAGAAATCTAACAGAAATTCTTACACGTTTTCAGAAATATTTACGAGGACATTAATTGTAATATTTTTTAAGTGAATGTTAGTATGAAAATGACTGAATAGTTTTCTATTTTATGGTTGGCTCATTTAAAAGGAATTAAAGGGCATTTCTTTTTTTAATCTCCTCATAGTTACTGATGTTGTTACAGTAGGGGTTGCACACAAATTTGTGGTGGTTATACCTAAGGTCAAGTTGCTCACACCCATGACCGTATTACTCACCAAGTTTTGCACTCTTTAGTTTAGTACTTGTACACATGTTCTCCAGGGGTTGCATTTCTTTGCTATTGTGCTCACACATCTTTGGTTGTTTTAGGCCACACCCAGTGGTGCTCAAGATTTATTCCTAGCTCTGCTCTCAGGAATTATTCACTTAGTACTCACTTAGTTCATACCCCTGTTTGCGGTGCTTATACATATCTGACTGCAGTGCCATTTAAAGATTGTGTAATATATACTTTGATTTCTATTCAGTTGTTATTGTTAAATTGTTATTAAATTGGATTGTTATTAAACACTTATTAATTGGTAAATTGTTATTAATGTTTCTTTCAAAATTTTTTTTCAGCTAATTTTTTTTTTTTCCCCCCCAGAGCCAAATGTTCTAGCTGGCACTTTAGTTGCTCATACAGATGCTGTCTGGGGTCTTGCCTATAGTGGCACAAAAAATCAATTACTGTCTTGTTCAGCAGATGGCACTGTTAGGTTATGGAACCCACAGGAAAAATTGCCATGTATTTGCACATACAATGGGAACAAGGGTAAGTAAATTTTGCCTTTCAGAAAAGGACTTACTTTTTTTTTTGCTCCCTCTTTTTTTAAAAATTGGAAACTAAAAATGCAAAGCACTGGATTTCTTTTTGCTGCTCTAGGAGATTCATTAAAACAGTTTTACAAAGTTTATGTTAATCTTTTTTGCCTCGGTTTTTTTGTTTTGTTTTTTTTTGCTTTTTTTTTGGCGATGCTCAGGGGTTACTCCTGGCTCATGCACTTAGGAATTGCTCCTGGCGGTGCTCAGGGGACCATATGGGGTGCTGGGAATCAAACCTGTGTTGACCATGTTGGCTGCGTACAAGGCAAACGTCCTACCCACTGTGCTATCACTCCAGCCCCAAGGTCTTTTTTTTTTTTAATAAACAAGAAAAACACTTTGCAAGTTTATTCTTGCAAAAAAAAGAATTTTGACCTTTTCCATAAACATGTTTTTATTTATTTGTTTATTTTTGTTTTAGGGGGGCCATAACTGTTGCTTAGGACTTTCTTCTGGCTCTGCACTCAGGGATTACTGTCTCCCCCCCCCCCTTTTCTTCTTTTTATTGAGTCACCGTGATATACACAGTTACAATGTTATTTATAATTGGGTTTCAGTCATACAACTTTTCAACACATCAGATATCACTTGATGAAGCTTGGGCAACCATATGTGGTACCTGGAGTCGAACCCATATTGGCCTTGTGCAAGGCAAGCACCTAACCTGCTCTGCTTTGTAGCTCTAACCTATGAAACATGTTCTATTTGAAAAAGAAAAGTTACATGTTAAATGTTTGTAAGATGGGGGAAGACAAATCAAGCTACTTTGAGGCCCTCCACTTTCTGCAAACAACTGCTCACAAGATTGAAGGAATTATAGATTCCAACTAGTATTGTCCGTAAACTGCATTGACACACTTATTGAAGAGGTGGTCCACTATAATCTTTGACTAGGGAATTAAAATTGGTTATTTGTGTGATTTCAGACCCTTTTCTCTCAATGCTTTAATATATCTGTGGTGATGTGTATTTGCATGAATATATGTACATAATTATATTCCTATTTTCCAAATTATTCAATATTTTTAAAAGTTAGATCATTTGTTTTTATTATGAAATGTTTCAAGGGGCCGGGGCTATAGTACAGAGAATAGGGTGTTTGTCTTGCATGCGGTTTGACCTTGAACTCCATCTAGTCCTTTGAGCCCGGGAGTCATCCTTGAGCACAGAACCAGAAGTAACTAATGTTTTGATTACCCAGACTTTTGAAGTAAAAATTCACATTTTGAAGTTGTTTCTTCTTTCATCCAGGTAATTGGTTAGCTTAGGACTCACCTATTTGTGCATTGATCTGGTCAGTTGAATTTATTTTTGGGGGGAGTGCCCACATTTATTGATGCTCAACAGTTACTCCTGGCTCTGATCTCAGGAGTTAGTCCTGGCCATGCACCAAAAATGATATGGGATGTTGGGGGGTTAACTCAGGTTGGCCGCATGCCAGACAAGTACCCAAGCCTGTACTATTCCTCCAGTCCCAAATATAATATGTCAAAGAGAAATCGCTGCTCAGGGCACTTTACGAAAGTACTGCACAAGTCTGGTCTAACATCCATGTGGCTGATTTTTATTTATTTATGTTAGAAACAAAAGCCACACCTGGCAGTGTTTGGAGTCCCAGGGCTGCTTCCTGCTGGAGGTGGGGCCCAGTGGCTGGCATTCCAGCTCAGAGCCTGGCTTATGTTTTACCACTTAAGCCATATCCCCACCGAAGTTTCATTTGCTTACATCCAAAATTTGACTTAGTTACTTATGAGGCTCACAGATCTCAGTTGAATAGTATCCCAAGACATTGATTTGAGAGTGCTAATTAATTTGTGGGCCAGAGGGTTAGTACAGCACATAAGGTGCTTGCTTTGCACACGGCCAGCCTGTTTCAATTCGTTATTGCATACAGTTGTTCCCTGAGCACCACCAGGACTGATCTTGAGTACAGAACTGCGGTACAACTTGAGTGCTTACAAATAAAGCCAAAAACAAAAAAGAAAAATACTGTTTGCAAGGGGGTCAAAAGACTCAAATGGGTTGTTTTTCGTCTTAAAAGGAAATGTATGGGGGCTGGAGAGACAGAGTGGGTAGGGCACATTCCTTGCATGTGGCCCACCAACCAGGTTTGATCCCCGGTATCCCATATGGTACCCATGAATATCTCCAGGAGTGATTACTGAGTGCAGAGTAAGGAGTAAGGAGCAAGCTCTGAAATTGCCAGGTGTAGCCCAAAAACAGAGGGAGGGAGGGAGGGAGAGAGAGAGAGAGAGAGAGATTGAGAGAGAGAGAGAGAGAGAGAGAGAGAGAGAGAGAGAGAGAGAGAGAGAAACAAGTAACTTTTATGTAGCAGTGTCGTCTTTAAGAGCTTTGCCTACATGGCTAAGGATGCTCAGAGGCTCCTCAGGACTATATACAGCAGAGCTGGAGTGGGGATGAGGGAAGGCATGACAGTGTCAGAAATCAAATTCAGAGCCTTCACATGTTTGAGCTCTCTTCTTTTCCTCTAAAGTGGATATTTTTATTTTTATTATTTTTAAATTTATATATATTTTAATGTAGGAGAGTCTAGAATGTCTGTGGACTTTGTGAACAACAAAACGTTGTTCACAATAATTTATTACATTCACTATTCCAACACTAATCCTGACATCATTACACCATACCACCACCATTATTTTGAATTTTCCCATGACCACTCAAACCTGCCTCAAAAGCATGTACTAAGTAAGCTATTTTGTATTGCTTGTTATGAATAATCCACTGAAAAAGATCCAAAAAAGTGTGTGAAGAGTGCTCTATCTCACCCTGGAGCCATTAAGCCTTTGTATAAGAGATTATGAATATGTTGTTACAGGTTGCCCCTGTGTGCTTATACACACACACACACACACACACACACACACATATATATACATATGCACACATAAGCATGTATATATATTTTTTCAATCGAAATTTGCCTTCTACATTATACCCCATCAAATATGATGTGCTACTCTTTGTACGTCGGTGGGGCAGAGTATGAGATGTTGCTCCAGGAATTCTAAAATTTTAAATAGGGTGATACAGCTAGAGTTAACTTTTTAACTGGATACTGACGTTGGGGTGTGGAGCCATCTCTACAGCGTGTTGTTTAACTTCCAATATTTATCTTTGATTCTCTGGATCATGGCCATTAAAGAGCTTATATGATACCAGGCAGTTTGTGGGCATGATTGCCAGGCTCTGGGAAGCACAGAGATGGGGGAAGGTCACCATTCCTCACTCTGTGAGAGCCTAGAGATTTCAGTCACAAAACATGCATGCCTAAGTTTTTCAGCAGATTCATTCTCATCGGTGAGGCTTGTTCCAAGCCTATGGAGATCAGCTATGAGCATGGCGACATTGGGTTCTGGAGGTTTTTGGCTGCCAGGATTCTGTTGGGGCGTGGTAAGGGACTTGCCTGCCCCACTCAGGGGCACCAGGGATGGGACAGCCTGGTATGGGGTCAAAGGCATCTCTGTGGCATCTAATGTGGATATTTTTAATTGCTGTCCTTACACTGTTTTCTCTTTGTTTCAGAGCATGGGATACCAACTTCAGTTGACTTTATAGGCTGTGATCCAGCTCATATGGTGACCTCTTACAGCACTGGTAACACAGTCATTTACGACTTAGAAACATCACAGTCATTACTGATGCTTTCATCACAGGCAGATTCTGGTAAGTTTCCATGAAACGTAAATGAAGATGATTACAGAATAGTTGAATTCTCTTTGGGGCCATACTCTGCAGTGCTGGAAGTCACTTCCAGTGGTGCTTAAGAGACCATGTGGTACCAAGGCTCTAATCGGGGCTTCTGGATGCACTTATCAATTAAGGCTGTCTCTCTGGCCTCTGGCTCCTATTTTCATTTTAACTGAAGTTAGGGTGGAAAAAATTAGAAACTTGCACTCAGTGTTTTTCTCTTATTATTTTTAAGCAATTTCTTCTTTTGTTTTGTTTTTTGGGTCACACCCGGCGGTGCTCAGGTGTTACTCCTGGCTCTGTGCTCAGGAATTACTCCTGGCATTGCTTGGGGGACCATATGAGATGCGAGGGATCGAACTCAGGTCTCCTGCATATAAGGCTAACACCCTCCCCACTGGACTATCACTGTAGCCCTCTACTTAAAATTTTTTAAATATGTTTTTAGCAAGACTAGTGATTTGTTAACATCAGAAAAAAAAAATTGCCTGTGTGTGTCTGTGTTTGCAGGGGAGTGTGAGTATGCACGCACATGCACCCCCGAGCGCATATGTGTACATGCACAAACTCTGAATCTAACATTGTCCTGATTTTATGATTTTTTTAAGGATGCTTTGATTGTATCGTTCCATCTCCATGTAGCAAGAATATTTATATAAAAAGGGATATCACTCACCAGTAATTCGATTACCTTAAAATTAGTGAAATTTTTTTTTTAAATTCTTATTAGTGAAACACTGTGAGGTACAGTTGTAGACTTACAAATTTTTGTGCTTGGGTTTCAGTTATACAATGATCAAGTACCCATCCCTCCACCAGTGCCCATTTTCTACCACCACGGATCCCAGTATCCCTCCCACCCCCACCCCCCCATTCCCTCCATACCACCCTGCCTCTGTGGCAGGGCATTCTCTTTTGTTCTCTCTCTCTCCTTTTGGGTCCTGTGGTTTGCAAGACAGGCATTGAGTGGCAATCATGTTTGGTCTATAGTCTACTTTCAGCATGCTTCTCCCATCCTGGAAGGATCCTCCCAACACCCTTTATTTGGTGCTCCCTTCTCTATCTGAGCTGCCTTTTCCCCTAGCATGTGTGGCTGGCTTCCAAGCTATGGAGCAAAGTTCCTGGTACTAATCTCGGCCATTCTTGGGTGTTAGTCTCCTATTTTGTTACTTTATGTTCCCCAGATAAATGCAATCTTTATGTCTATCCCTCTCTTTCTGACTCATTTCACTTAACATGATACTTTCCATGTAGTACCAAAATTAGTGATTTTTGAAGGAAAGTAAGATACATGATTTTTCTCCCTTTTACAGTCTAGGGGTTTTTTGTGTTCCTTTTTTTTTTTTGGTGAGGGATGGGGAGGGGAGAGTGGCTTTACCTGGTGCGCAGAACTTACTCCTGGCTCTACATTCAGGGATCACTCCTGGCAGGGCTCAGAATTTTTGATGGGGTGCAGGGGATTGAACTCATATTGGCCAACTGCAAGGCAAACACCCAAACACCTCACTGTATTGTCTCTTCTACCCCTAACTTACTAGCTTTTTTAATATGGAAATGATTTCCTATTCTAGTTTATTTTTTTGGGGGGGGGGTGATTGTTTTAGTATAGCACAGCGGTAGGGCATTTGCCTTGCAGGCAGCCAACATGGCCGACCCGAGTTCGATTCCTCTGCCCCTCTCGGAAAGCCCGGCAAGCTACCGAGAGTATCTTGCCCGCACGGCAGAGCCTGGCAAGCTCCCCGTGATGTATTCGATATGCCAAACACAGTAACAACAAAGTCTCCAATGGAGACGTTACTGGGCCCGCTCGATCAAATCGATGAACAACAGGAGGACAGTGACAGTGATTGTTTTAGTATCAACATAGTTTCTTTGGGATACAAATGTATTTGACATGTCTCAATCTATTGCAGGAATTATTTTTATTGCTGCTCAGATTGTTTTATTTTTGTTCAGTTGTATTTTATTCAGGTTGTCTCCTGAGTCCTTTTGCTAACCTTACTTTCTAACTTTCTAGTATGAACCTAGAACACAAGATAGGTTTATCTTTTATTTTGAGGCATTTTTGTACATCAGGTCTAGTAACAGCATTTTCTCTGTGCAGCTCTGGTTTCTTTTAGTAAAAGGACCCAATGTGGTACCAGGGTTCACTCAGGACCTTGCATATGTGCCAAGGTTTGTACTCTTTCCACTAAGTTTTGTGCCTCTTTCCACTAAGTTATTCTCAGAAGCCCCACAAGCTTACATTTTAATTTTATTTTGCTATATTTTGATAAGACTTTAAAATTAAAAGTCCATCAATGCAACTTCTAACTAAAGGCTTGACATTTAATGACTGTTTCTTCCCTCTGCAGGTTTACAATCCAGTAATCATATTAACAGAGTAGTAAGTCATCCCACACTTCCTGTCACAATAACTGCTCATGAAGATAGACACATCAAATTTTTTGACAATAAATCGGGTAAGGATTTTCAGTTAACTTTTCAGATAACATTAATAGTATAAGTTTAAAGTGGTTGAAAAAGCTATTTATATAATGTATGGTAATTATAGCCTAACTTGAATAAGTTAAACCATTTGAACTAATTTTTGTTTTAAAGTATATTATGCTGTTTTATCCTTAATGTATATAATATAGTTAAATACAAAAGTTAATGTTAAATACAAATCCTTTCATTTAGTGAATAGAAGATAACTCTGGTGTTTTGTTTGAATATCGTATAAAATTACTTCTTAGTCTATGTAATAATTACAAATAATGGAACCTATGTTCAGATACATTGTTTTCAAAGAAATTCTTAAAGTTGATGGCCCTTTAAATATAGTTAGAATATTCCCATAAATACTGTTGTTGGTGACTTTTTACTATTATTGCTAATTTTGGTAAGGAGATTCCCAAGTGGTACTTAGTGGGTCTAACAATCACTCTTGGTGATATTTAGCCAACTGGGCCAGTAGTTTCAATGCTAAGCCCCACAGATTTAGTGCTATTATCTCCATTTTGTAGGAAATAAAAGACTTGAAAAAAATTTTTGTAGTAGTATGCAGCAGAAAAAAAGGTAGAGTTGTGATTCAAACCAATATGCCCTTCTCTGCCAGAATCTTCCTGATTACATCAGCCTGTTTCTTTTCATTTTATGGAAGCTCACCCATAATATTGATTACCTAAAGGGCTTAAGATGGTAAGGAGAGGAGAACTATTGACTACATTTGTCTATTACCTCAGTTACATGGGGAAAAGTTAAGTTCAAAAAGCTGCAAGAATATGTTCGTGAAAATGTGGGTTCCTAATTTCAGGAGAGAGCAGAAGCCCCGCATCCAGCTTGGTTAGGTATCACACTTTGCTGCACATGGTTCATTCTGAAGGGGTCAGTAATTTTTCAGTGACTTCATAGTTATATAGAGAGGGTTAGCTCTAAGTTGACTTTATCAGAGTGATGGTTAGTTCAGTATATGGGCAAAGGGACTAAAGTTAGGCGTGGTAAAATACAGTAGCCTTAAAGAAATGGATAGATCTACGATTTGGATGAAAAGGTGCTGGAGAGATGGTACAGATAGACCCTTGCCTTTCTTGCTGCCAAGCCTGGTTGAATTCCAGGCACTGCTAGGTGTGGACCAAAAAGCTGGGTAAAAAAAAATTCTCTTAATGTTAGATTGAGGGATAAAGTTTAGGAGATGAAGGTTCATTCTTAGGGGAGAAGTCAGAACTAGATGTGTTAATCAAAAGTTATTATCATAGGGGCCAGGGAAATAATAGGTTGTAGAGCAGATGCCTGGCAGTTTGATCCTTGACACCACATTCTCTCTCCCACCCATACTTGTGGCCCAGTACCCCTAAGAAGCAAGCCATTGGGCCCCAGTACCAAATTATCATTCTGTCACTAAGTAACACCAAGAGTGGTCCTGGGTATCCTGAAACCTTCTGAGGGGTCACCGATTTATTTTGGATTGGGATTGGGGCCACATCTGGTGGTGCTTTGAGGCTACTCCCAGCTCCAGTGTTCAGGGGACCATATGGTACCAGAGAAAAAATCAAGGCTTCTCCCATGCAAAGCATGTGCTCAACCCATTGAACTGTCTAAATCAGTGGCCCCTGTTTAAAAATTGTCATCATAAATTTGAATTCTATGGGAGGCTAATGATGCTTCATACCTAATTAACAGTTTTGAATTGTTATTTCATTCTCTGGTATATTAATACTGAGATTCTGTGAGTAACATGTATTTTAGAACTGACTGATAAATTCTTTTAGACTAAATTAAAGATCCTATGTTGAATGATTTTTCTGTTCCTCAAGAGAACTGGTAATTCTAAAATTATTCTTTCCTGTGAATGAGAAGCAGGTCATTGTAATGATATTTCAGTTTTGTACTCAATTGATAAATGTTTAGTGTGCCAAAAAGTGACATTACTTTTGTGTTTGTTTTTTAGTAATTATTTGCACATTTGTAGTTGTAGTTTTTGTATTCAGGTCAATAATTGTAGCTTGGGGCCAGAGAGAGGTAGCTCAATGGGTTGGAATGAGTGCTCTTGAAGGCAGGAGACCCCCTTCAGTCCCTGATACCACATGGTCTCCCAAACCCCTGAGCTTACTAGTTTTGACTCAAATACAAAAATAAATCACTGTATCACTGTCATCCCACTGTTCGTTGATTTACTCGAACGGATGCCAGTAACGTCTCCATTCATCCCAGCCCTGAGATTTTAGCAGCCTCTCCTTACTCATCTTTCCCAATGCTGCCATATTGGAGGCTCTTTCAGGGGTTAGGGGAATGAGGTCCATTATTGTTACTGTTTTTTGGCATATTGAAAACGCCACAGGTAGCTTGCCAGGCTCTGCCATCTGGGCCAGATACTCTCTCAGCCCAAGCGTGTGGAAGGCATCCTGGAGTGTGGCGGGGTTGGGTAGTGAGGTTGACTGCTGGGGCTGGGTCCCTTGGGGTAGGGAGGGCTCTCATTCTTCCCCCCTCTGGGACACCCCGAGTGAAAACAGCCTGGCGAGTGAAAACAGCCTGGCGTGGTGTCTGGTGGCATGGTTATGGGGGCCTCCTTTTATACTCCCGGGGAGAAGCAGCCATGAGTTCTGGAGGGTGGCCAATGAGGAGATTATCTGGCGCCAGCAGGAGGTAGCTGATAATTGTGATCCCTGGGTCGCCAGAGACTGGGTGAAGCAGGCAGAGGATATCTGCTCCCAGGTCCCATTGAGCCCAGAGTCCAAGGTCACAAGGTTCCACATTACAAAAGTAAATAAATTTTAAAACTTGTACTCCTAATGTAGTTCTTTCATACCCCATTGTAGAATGTCATTAAGGGATCAGAAACATGTCAATTTTTCTTTAATTGAATCACCATGAGATACACAGTTACAAAGTTATTCCTGGTTGGGTTTCAGTCATGCAGTGTTCCAGCACCTGTCCTTTCACCAGTGTACATTTCCCACCACTGATGTGCCCTGTTTCTCTCCCACTACCCTACCCCTAGCTGCCTCAGTGGTTCTCTCTTCTCTCTCTCTCTCTCTCCCCCACTCCCCTTTCCTCTCCCCTCCCCTCCCTTCCCCCTCTTCTCCCTTTTTCCTTCCCCTTCCTTTTATGTATTATGGTTTGCAGTACAAGTTAGCTCCTTTTCAGCATTAAATTCGTGTCCAGAGTGATCATTTCCAACTCTCATCGTCATAGTGGTCCCTTCTTTATCCTAATAGTTCTCCATCCCCACCACTCGTGGCATGCTTCCAACCATGGACCAGTCCTCCTGGCCCTCATTTCTATTGTCTTTGGGCACTAGTCTCATACTACACTTTTTTATATCCTTCATGGCAAATAATTTTAGCCAGGATTCTGGAGAATTGGGAGCAGCCAACACATTTTAATATAAACTCATTACTGAATGAAAAGGGAAGACATTATTATTTTCCAGTGTCAGCAGTTGGTATTTCATTCTCCACCCATCAAAATATATATATTAGCATTGCAAGGTTGCTGCCCTTTTCCCAGAGTATTTGTGCAACACAGCTTTGTAGTCACAATCTTTTTTTTAAAATAACTCAGCTTACTGTTGAATCCCTCTTGCTTGCAAAATCTTCAGTAATAATCCATTTAATTATATTTTTCAGAATACTGTTTTTGTTATTATATGGGGAAATCCAGAGAAATTTCTCTTGATGTACTCCTACCCCTCTCTTCTTTCTTACTGCTAATATATAAATGTTGACATTCAAAAGTTTGACGATATTGGAAATTTTAGGTAGGAATATATTTTGTTTATCATTATATAAAATATTATGTCTTCTAATGAGAAACATTTTGTTTTCATTTTAATTCTAGGTCACATGTGATCTTAAGCATTGAGACAACCTGATTTATTATATTTTCTACTACCTTCCAAATACTGTTAAATTCATGCCACATAGATGTATATGTTTTGTTTTTGTTTTTTGGCCATATCCAGTGGAGCTTAGGGGTGACCATGTGGTACAAGAAATCAAGTCTCAGGCTCCCATGTGGCAAGCAAGTGCTCCAGTCCTTTGAGCAATCTTCCTGGCCTCTAGATGTTTTCTTAGGTATAACTGGGAATGTTATGTGTTGAAATTCAGAATATCTTTATTATTTCATCATAATGAATGTACGTTTAAAATATAAGTGACAAAAGACAGACACGAAAAGCTGCATTATTATATTTTACTTGTCCAGAGATTCCGTAATAATACCTCTTTTTCTTAGAGAAAGCAGAGTAATGGTTTCTAAGGACTTCGGGGTAATAGCAAGAAATTGCTTTAATGGGAATGGTATTTCCTTTTCGTTGCTGAAAATGCTCTGACCTAGATTATAATGGTCAGTTTCATCTCAGTGTGAATGCTTTAAATGCTGTTGAACTATACCTTGCATGTAGTTTAAATGGTAAATTTTATGTGTGTTTTCTCAGAATTTTAATTTAATCCTTTTAAAAATTCTTTAAAAACTGTTTATTGAAGCTATTTGTTTATAATATCAGGTATATTATAGTCTATTTTTAATGTTGGTGTTATATTATGGTTCTAATCTCTCTAGATAGGAACTTTGAGAAACTTACTCTTTTTTCTTATGTTTCATTTAGGTAAAATGATCCATTCTATGGTAGCTCACTTGGATGCTGTTACAAGTCTCGCAGTAGATCCTAATGGAATCTATTTGATGTCTGGAAGTAAGTCTGAACTTCCTATAAGCCCACATTCTGTTTTGAAGGATTATTATTCAGTAACATACTTTTATTCTTTTACAGGCCATGACTGTTCAATTAGATTGTGGAATTTAGACAGCAAGACTTGTGTGCAGGAAATAACAGCACATAGGAAGAAATTAGATGAATCAATATATGATGTTGCATTTCATCCTTCAAAAGCATATATTGCCAGTGCAGGGGCTGATGCCCTTGCCAAAGTATTTGTGTGAATCAATGAAAATTTACATCCTAACATCTGATTTGCTTGGACAGAAAGAGGGTTCTGCATCACTGCCATCAAAAAGGTTACTGACATGACACTACTTGTGATCTACCTGGTGAAGGATACTTGGGGCAGGCATTAAATGGTGGACATCACATCTTAACGTCAGGTTCATTAATTCACTTGTAATTACTGTATTTTGTGGGACATAAACTAAAAGGACTTCAGAATTTGTGGCCTGTACTGGGTATTAACTGAGAGTGTGTCTGTCTTTTAGGTATCTTTAAGCCAATGTGGAGTCTGATCTTACAAAAAGACTTTTGTTTTGGACTCTGTGTGCTGCCTTAGGGTTAGGAATGTGGTGCTCTTGTGGGGGGGAAGTGAGCTCCAAGAGTAGCTTTTTTTTTTTATTCATCTCTTAGTGATTTTGTGTTAATCAGTTGAATGCCACAGATTCCCTTTTAAACTTATTTTGCTTTAAAAAAAAAAAAGAAAGAAAATTTAACTTAAAATATTTTAGCATTAGTTGCACAAAATGTTTGGATAAAATTCTAGTTTTTATAAGTCTTTTTATATAATTAGCCTGTCACAACAGTGCTCAAGATTGTATTGAAGTTTTTCTGCATTGTAAAACTCTAAAACACAGAGATCTCACTGACCCGCTGCCGTGTAACCACTCTTTCCTTCTTTTGCCTAATACAGCTCAGCTAAGTCCTTCCATAAAGATGCTAAATCACCTTCATCATCACATATTTGTCTTCATAAACCAAGGACTATTAAGTGTATTAAATAATAAACAGTGGAGTTTAGTACTCCAGTTGAACTCTTAAAACTAATCTTGACATCCTATCACTATGTGATATTTTGTACATCTTACTGTATTTACAAGTTTATTTATCGAGGATTATCCATCTTGCTAATAGCCTATTATTTATTTCACTTTTTGTTGGTCTTTATATCCTTTTTATTAATGTGCTAAAGGAAACTGTATATCTATTTTGGAACTCTTTGAATAGTCTAAAATAGACTAAAAAAGAATAATAGTTTATGTTAGAAACCAAGGTAATCTACCCCACCCCAGATACATATCTTGGTTTACCATGATCCAACCAAAACTTATCTTGTTTAAGAATATTTGGCATAAATTTTATTTGCATTACAAATAGTATACAAAAATAGTTGAATCAGGATACAGAAATCTGTGTTTGGACTAGTTACCCCTGTTTTATTTTTCAGATGTGCTTAATTTTATAGTGTAACTAAAGATTTTGTTTGTGTAATGCATGATTAAGACAATAAAGTATTTTTTCTAGTCTTCCAAAAAACTTTTCTGATCAGTTGCGGTTTTGATGAGTTTTGTAAGGTTTTTGTTTTACAAACTATGAATCAGCAAATTTTTAAGATTGTACGACTTAGCAAACTACAACTGTTGAAAAATAATGTATATAAAATGCATATAATAAATATTAAATTGTGTACCTGTATGTTACTGTTGGCTACATTATTTTGTGTTGAATAATAAAGTGCAATACATTCTCCATCGTTAAACTATCAAATGGAGATAATTTCTCCGTGCGTTCTTCATTTTAATGCTGTTCTGAAGTTTGCACTGATTATGAATAATTTAGTAAGATTGACACTGTTAAGAATGCCTTTCTAAAAATTTCACCCCACGTGGGGATAACAAATTTATCAGAATAGGTTAGATAATTCAAAATAACCAAAAATTATAATGATTTCGTTATAAATAATTTTGTTATTAAATCTAAATTTCATTAGCTTTGTCGTTATTACCTAGCCTTACATGTTTCCACAGAAAAAGTTTAGCGAAGAATAAACTGCATTTATTAAACATTCTTACAATATTATATGTTAATATCTTAAAATTTTTCTTTGAAGGAAATTACAAATGAAATTAGAAGGTTAACATTAGCAAATATATGTAGCAAACTTTTCTTTGCCTGGTGCATTGTGTGTACCCATATTGAAAAATTGTGATATATATATACCATGAAAATCCAAGTAGCAGCCATTGATGAAACACTAAAAATTTTCAGAAATTTACTTTAAATATCAGTTATTCTGGCTTTAGAGCTGAGTGTCAACTATTGAACAAATTATAGGGGCATTTTCTTTTTCTTTTTGAAAAAACAGCAGGAACAAAAGCTTGTTCCAATCAATTCTAGTATTGTTTATGGTAGCTATTAAAAACTAATGCTTATTGTCTAACTGAAATGTAATCATGATTGCATTGCATAAAAACATTCACTTCTTTTTGGAATGTATTAAAACAAATTAATAAAATAGTATATTTGTTAATTTTTCTTTTATACTTTGGTAATATTTTTGCTACAATATTAAATATTTGAAAGAGACAAAGTTATTTAAATAGAAATTTTTTGTTACTACCAATGGACTTGAAGAGGCTGGAGCCATAGCACAGCGGGTATGGTGTTTGCCTTACACGCAGCCAACCCTGGTTCGATTCCTCCGTCCCTCTCAGAGAGCCCGGCAAGCTACCAAAAGTATCCCGCCCGCATGGCAGTGCCTGGCAAGCTACTCGTGGCATATTCGATATGCCAAAAATAGTAACAACAAGTCTCACAGTGGTGATGTTACTCGTGCCCGCTTGAGTAAATCAGTGAACAATGGGAGGACAGTGCTACAGTGCTACCAGTGGACTTATAGGGAATTATGTAGACTACTAAGTGCTTTTTTGTATAAAGGTTAAGACATTTTATATACAAACTCCAGTATGTTGACTTCAGATACTTAGTTGTATACTGCCTTTTTAGTATTTCAGTTATCCATGTACTTTTCTTATATTTTGATTAAGTTAATACTGCAGACCAGCATCACATTAAAAATTATTTATAAATGAGCTAGTGTATTTGAAGTTTAGGCCTATCTGCTAAAGTTGGGTTGCGGTACAACTTTTTAAAAATATCTCTTTTACTTTCTGATCCTTTCATCTTGGTTATGTATAAAGCTACTGTTAACTTCTACAAATAAATTAAAAACATCTTTTTTTTCTGTTCTCACTTCTACCCCCTCTAAGTTAGACTGCACCTTTGCTCAAGGAGATATTCTACTCTGTGCTGGGACTTTGTTCCTTGTGATACTTGGTGAACCAGTTGTGAAATCAAACCCAGGCTTCCACATGCTTTTTGCTCAGCCCACTGAACTCTGGCCTCTCTTGTTACCTCAGATGATGCACAAATGATAGAAAAGGCTTCTTTAAAATTGTTTTTGTTTTTGGCCATACCTGGTGCTGTTCAGAGGATACCGCTTGCTGATGGGGGTTTCTCCAGGAACTTTGCAGTGCCAGGGATCAGACCTAGGCCTCACAGTGGAGTAAAGCATGTGCTCCAGCCGGTTGAGCCATATCCCTTGAAAAGGCATTTTAAAAAAGAGCTAACAAGGGGCTGGAGAAATAGAACAGTGGGCGGGGCACTTGCCTTACACATGGCTGACCTGTGTTCAGACCCTAGCACTCCTTAGGTCCCCCAAGCCCCAACAGAAGTGATCCCTGAGTGCTGAACCAGGAGTAAGCCCTGAGCATTGCTGGATCTGGGCTGGGTTTTCAATTAAATATGTGTTCAGAGAAATGGGGTACAAAGGTCGGGTGGTGGTGGGGGGTCTGTCAGAAGCAGCTAAATGCCTGGAGTGATGGAGCCACCATTGAGAGAGAGCCAATATTCACTTTTCTCAGGAACCAAATTCACAAGCATATTTAAGTTCCCATAAAGTAGTTGAGCACTTTTGTTGCACTAGGTAGCCAAAACTGTCTTGTGCTATATTGCCTAGAACAGTAGGTATTCAAAGGTAATTGAAAGTAAAAATGTCTTACTGTATGATTTTAAGAAAAAAATGCTGGTTGGTCTTTCCACAGATATAAATGTTGCTCCACAGTTACTTTAATAGAAGTAAGGCAGCTGGTAATATTAGTCACTAATAATTTTATTGTGTCTGTATTCCCATACAATACTCTTCCTGTGTCTGCTATTTGAGATGTGACTGAAGCTAAATGTAAGTGTTAAGCAAGAATTTTACCAACTTAATCTTTTTCAGAACATGAATGACTTTTAGATTAAATTTTTTATATATGTACATACTTAATATATACACAGACACACAAGGATATAAAAGAAAAATATTCCTGATAACTTGTTCTGTGTAATATTTCATTGGAGTTCTTATTGAAAATGTACAAGAGAAATTTGATCATAACCATATGATCCATATCCATCCCTTCCATAACCGTAACTTCTCTGTATTAAGTATAACCTTATGTTGTTGATTGCTAATAAGCCATCTACTTGGGTCAGAAGAGCTTTCTATTTTTTTCATTTGCCGTAAATATTTAATACACAATGACTTAGAAAAGGAGTATTCCTTAGAGTCTAAATACTAAATATTTTATTGAGCAAGGTATAGAATTTGCATATCTACATTTTAGTAGGTTAGAACTGATATTTTAGTCCGTGATAACTCATTTTTCCTGAGTTTTTAAGAATCATGAGTATGAAGCCTCAGCAGTGTCCTGAACATGTGTCTTAAGTTGTAGTTAGAAGGTAGTTTTAAATAAATGCTTATTTGCTTAAAACAGCTGTTGACATCTTTAATAGTTTTGATTCTGACTCTAGTATGCTCTATATTATCGCAATAGTACAAGAATACAACTTAAACATTAGATTTCCCTTGTGCTTTTTCAGTTGACAAAATATTATTGCTGGGATTCTAAGAAATCTCTACAAATGCCTCTGATAACATCAGAAACAATTGGTTCTAATCCTGTGAACTCTCTTGTGAAGAAAGCATGAGACTCCTTTGGTTTAGAAGCCATATCTTTCAGGTCATCCAGAGGTGCCCAAGCCACACCAACAGAGAAAACGGTGATACCTACAATGAAAAGTATTTGTAGAGTAATTAAAACCAAGTTCCATCTTTGTGTGTGTGTGTGTGTATACATATTTCATATACTTGTACACAGTTCCAAAGAAAACTGCCTATGTGGATTTATCTGTAGACCTATTTGGATCACTCCAAATAGGTTTAGCAGCCATTTCGTTGAGTGGCTAAACAGTTTTGGTAATATCTGAAGCTTATATTCAGTGTAATAAGCCACGTTAACAGGATAAATTAGTTCATGTGACTGCTATTACAGGAAAAAATTACATTTGTGATAGAGGTAAAAGGAAAATTCTTTTTTTTTTTTCTTTTTGGGTCACACCCGGCAAGGCACAGGGGTTACTCCTGGCTCTGCACTCAGGAATTACTCCTGGTGGTGGTGCTCAGGGGACCATATGGGATGCTGGGAATTGAACCCGGGCCGGCCGTGTGCAAGGCAAACGCCCTACCCGCTGTGCTATTGCTCCAGCCCCGAAGGAAAATTCTTTAATAGTATTTTTAAAATAACCAAAATCCTACAGCTTACCTCTCTAAAACTGGTGTGAGAAAAATCCTGAAACACCCTCTGAGACTGGCACAAGAAAAAACTTGCCTGCTTGATTATTCCTACTAGAGCCATCGCCAGTGCATAAAGAATTGCACAGAAGATAACATTGTACAAAAATTATGTCAAGTTTCCTAGGTTGTTAGATTAAGGAATGGTCCTCTGAAAAATACCTTTCTTTCATTTCTAACTTTATATACTTTATACAAACCGACCAGTTGTCAGAAATTGTCTTCAACAAAAAGTCTGGTTAAAAAAAAAGTCAAACTAATGTTTTTGAAACTGAAATTCTTCCAGTTATATTTGAGTTCTTCCACTTCCACCTCTATAGTGTTAAAAGAATGCTTTTAATATAGATGTACATTTTATTTAGGGTAGTATTTGACTTACCTTCATAACTTGTAGAAATAGTTTTTAGCAGGTTCTTAGACTATTTTTTGGTGGTGCCAGGAATTGAATACATCATGTCAGAGGCATATGCTCTAATACTGACTTTATTTAGTCATCATCTCTCTGGGTGGAATTCCCTGTAACTGTTTTTGAAATAGCTACTTCTTATCTTAAGCCTTAATACACTACCCAGATGTAAAATATCCAGATTATTTTAGCCAAATTTAAGACCAGGGCTGTTATTCAGCGGTAGAGCATATAGCTTATACACCAAGCCAAATACAGAGATTTTATCGCATGTATTAGATATCTGTCCTAATCAAAATCTTTTAAGTCTGTAAACATGTAAATGTTTTAGCACAGGTACTTGAAAGGACAGAGAATGTGACAAAAGTGGTTGTAGAACCCATCTTAAAAGTGATGCTCAGGGTTCAATCTCTCTCATGGAAAAAAAAGGGCTGGGGGTCATTATATAGATTAAATAGGGGGAAAAGAGTAAAGAAAGATGCAAGGCTGTTGCTTGCCCCCTACTATGTTAGCAATTTTGGTTTTAGACCTGATTGAACTTCAGTCACTCAGTTACATATCTCAACAAAGGGACGCTCAGCTTTTTGTTGGCCTGTTTGATCTCAATAACATATTGTGTTAAAGTCTTCAGGAACTAGTGGCCTTAGCCAAAAGTAATAAGGATGGTTTAAGGGAGAAAGGAAACCTTTTTATACCCTTTCATAACATCAGAATGTTTTATTTGTCTCAAAGAGAAGGATGTTTTTATGGAATAGGATTAAAGCTAGCAGTAACCTTATCTTAGAAAAAGCATGCCAGCCTGAAAACTTAAAAAGTACAAAGCTGGATCTCAGGAATCTGGTGTATAGAATAACAACACAAGCTAACGGAAGTTATCAAAGGTGGGCAAACTCTTGGCCCTAGATTATAAAAATGAAAATGTCAGGGAAGGAGAGAGTGGAGGGGGTGAAGTGAGAAGAGACAGTTTGGAGAAAACAGCCAATGTTCAGAGGCCTTGGGCACATGGATGGTAGAGAGCTGAGGTAATTTGTACATATCAAAACCACTAGAAACAGCACTAGTAAACAAGGGACCCAGACTACAACAATTAAACCTAAAAATGCATCTGTATGGAGGTGGACTGGGATGGGGTGAGGAGTTTGAGACATTGAAGGGATGCTCATACTGGTGGTGGGTTCGGATAAACAATTTTGTAAATAAAGCAGACTAAGCACTGTGGCACTGTCATCCTGTTGTTCATCGATTCACTTGAGCAGGCACCAGTAACGTCTCTATTGTGAGACTTGTAGTTACTGTTTTTGACATATCGAATACGCCATGGGGAGCTTGCTGGGCTCTCCGAGAGGGACAGAGGAATCAAACTTGGGTCAGCTAAGTGCAAGGCAAATGCCCTATCCGCTGTGCTATTGCTCCAGCCTGAAAGCAGGCTAAATAACTAGAATTATTAAGGTTTATACTGTTATGATAAACTGGGGTTAGGAGGTTATTCATTTTGGGCTAAACGGCCACTGATAACATACTTCCTCAACACATGGCACGGCTCTCCTCAGAATTGGGTGAACTATATTAGTGATCAGCCAGCTTCACTACTACTATTAATTTGAGGATGTTTATTTCCTTTCCACAGAATAAAGTTTATAGGGCTACTTTGACAAGTCAGTAAATACTAAGTAAACTCTGAGTAACAACTCCACACTGTTGATGCCTGTTCAATAAAATGTTTACCTTCATCTGTTTAATCATAATTTTACTGGAGCCACCTCAGTTTCTTTTCAAAGTACAAGAACCTTACCTGCATCATGGGCAGCAGCAGCTGGGCCTCGGACATCGTCATAGGACTGCCCATCTGTGATGATTACCAGGAAGTTCTTGTTGGGGCTATCCCTCACAGGACCAAACACATTTCTAACAGTAAAGGAAATGGCATCTCCAGTAGCTGTTCCACCGCTCATATATCGTATATTTCTAATAACTGCTAGGACATTCTCTTTCGTGTTGTAATCGAAGAAACTGAATTCTGTGCGCTGATCATAGGTGAACTGTACAGCAGCTATCTTTGCTCCAATGTCTGAGATTTCAAAGGTCTTGGCTATGTTGGATACAAATTCAAGCATAAGGTGGAAATTGCTGTCTCCAACACTACTAGAGCCATCAATTAAAAAGGCAATATTCACTGAATTATAACAGGTCTTGCTGCACATCATTTGCTCGTGAGTGCACAGTTTCTGTACCAGAGGCTTGACATATTTTGTGGTGCCAAACCAGTTTGGCATGTGGTAAGAGAAGAAACCATTATTCCGACAGACAGCCTAAGTATGGGGAAGGAGAAAAGAGTCAAGGGAATTAGAAGTTTCTTCTTCAGAGTTAGGCCAGAGAGATAGTTACAGGGGTTGAGGTGCTTGTGTTGCACATGGCCAACCCTGGTTTGGTCTCCGGTAGCACATGGGTCTCCCATGCACCTCTACGAGTGACCCCTGAGCACTAGCACGCGCACACACACACACACACACACACACACACACACACACACACACAAATTAGACATATTGTGAATGCTCAAAGTCTATCCAGATAGGTACCAGTCACCTCTCTGCCTCAGTTGAATTTGCAAGATACCTGCCATCTCCTTACCTTGTCAACAAATGCAACATCCTGAACCATGCCCAGTTCTTCAGGGATAGGCTTGGCCACAGAAACGATAAATACATTGACACCAAACTCTCGGGCCACAATGCCTGCTTCCTCAATGTCATCAGAAGGCCAGCCATCGATAAATACTACCACCACCTTGGGGATCCCTTTTCTTACTCCAGTGTCTGCTGTGAAAAATTTCTGGGCTGTATGCTTCAAGGCTTTTCCTAGGTTTGAAAAAGAAGCAAAATGGAGGATCACCCCTTGCTCAAATAATATTTCTGTTCCCCTGTATCAGTGTGATGCCACCAACTTTAAGAATTTAACTTTCATAGAATTCAATCCTAAAATAGGTGCATCAGATGGAAATGTTTAACTATTCATCAGCCCTATTTTTTGTCACAGCCCACATAACTTCCCCCATCAGCTCCCAGAAGCTTCATATTTCACTTTTTCACATCAGTCAAAAACACTACAGTGACTCCCACTTTTTTTTTCTTTTTTCTTGTTGGTATTTGGGTCATACTATCTGTATTCGGAACTTATTCCTAGTTATGTGCTCAGAGATCATTCTTGGTAGGGCTGGAGGACCACAGACAGTACTTGGAATTGAACCCTGGTTGGCCACATGCAAGCAGATACCTTAACTCCTGTTTTGTCAATGTTGTGCTCCCTGTCTATCCCTGAGTTACTGAGTAAATACCTATTATTATTATTATTATTATTATTATTATTATTTGGTTTTTGGGTCACACCCGGCGATGCACAGGGGTTACTCCTGGCTCTGCACTCAGGAATCACCCCTGCTGGTGCTCAGGGGACCATATGTGATGTTGGGAATCGAAACCAGTCAGTCGCATGCAAGGCAAATGCCCTACCCGCTGTGCTATTGCTTCAGCTCCTGAGTAAATACCTTTTAAAGACTCAGAACATCAGCCTCTCTTCAGAGGGTCCTGACCTGAGTCACAGTCACTCTAATTATATTCATCACAGCAGTGTTCACTAGATAAATTTATTGATCTTTGTTTTTAACAATTTGTTCTCTACAGCGTCTAATAAAAGGTTTATAATTTCCAATGCTCATTTTGTTTTGCTTTGGGACCACAGCTGGCTGTAGACAGGGCTTACCCCTGCCTCTGTGCTCAAGGGTAACTCCGGTAAGGTTCAGGGGACTATATGGGCTTCTGGGGATTGAACCCAGGCAGGACACATGCAGGGCAAGAAACTTACCTGATCTACTACCTCTGGGGTCCCTGCTTTGTTTTTTTAAGCTATATTTTCCATTGTAAGTTGCATGTTTATCCCAGAGGATCATTGTAAACCTAATCAAGATTTTATGCCAGGAAGTAGCATTTCACATCTTATACAAAATGGGTAATCACTGTTTACATGCCTGATAACTCATAGCCCTCTTTTGTCACATCCCAAATACCTGATTTTACTTACCTGTATTGGAATTACCCCCTCTGAAACCTACTTCCTTTATGGCAAACAAAACATCTTTGGCTGATGTAAAGTTTTTCAAGTAAAATTCTATTTTGGGATGTTCACTAAGAATGAAAAAATGAAAAAAATATGTTATCCAGGGTAATTGAAAAGATAAACATATACCTGTTTTAAAAAGTCTTTATATCATACACAGCCCTTTCTTAATTCTATCATATAGAATTGTATTGCATCTTAAATTTAAAATTTCAGGTGCATTTGTAGCATACAAAAAATTGTTAGCTTGAGGGTTTGCTATATTCTAGGAAACATGCTAAATAGTATATTAATGATACAGCATATTATGTATATTTATAAGTTATGCAAATAAAAAATAGGTAATTTGTCCAACAAAAAAGCTGCATTTTACATTCAGATTTTCCTGGCTTAGAGCACCTGGCTTTATAGAAGCTTAGTGGAATGTAATTTTCATTTTGAAAAAGAATTGGGTAAAAATATAAAAAAAATGAAATAATGGTATAAAACTCAAAACATAGTAGAAAAGACCTAAAGAATTAGCATACATATCAAGAATACAGATTTGCCCAAAGTTGAATATATGCCAAAAAATTCTATCTCAATTAAAAGTCAGTAATAAAATATTAATGTAAGAACAAAGTTCAAATTAACACTGCTGATAATTTCAACTTTATCAATTTTCTAGAAAGAAATTAAACTTTTGAGTTAGAGAGAGCTCAAGTTTGATCCCAGGTACCACATTGTCCCCATAGCACCATGAAGAGTGATCCCTGAGCACCAAGCTATGAGCAGCCCTTGAACACTGCTAAGTGTGGCCCCCAAACAAACAAAAATAGAGATGTAACTGGTTATATAAAAAACCTTGAAAATGTCAGTACCCTATGAAGTAATTTCACTTTCAGACTAAACAAGAATGCTATGAGGATGTTCCTAATAGCATAATGTATTAACAGTGAAAAACCAATAGCAGAATGACTAAATAATGATGACAAGAGAGAGATAGTACAATGGGTAGGATGTTTGCCTTGCACACAGCTGACTGAGCACTGCCAGGAGTAATTCCTGGGCACAGAGCCAGGGGTAACCCCTGAGAATCATCAGGTCACCAGGTGTGCACTTCCCCAGCCCCCACAAAAAACCCCAAAAATCCATTTCTGAAGAATATTTATGTTAGGGTCATATATTAATACTAAGGTACTATACAAGATAGAAGACAGTCTGGGGTTTTTTATAGTCTGAATTTTTGAAAAATTAATCTGTATGGTTAAACATTTTCTTAAAGCACTAGAACGAAATAAAACATAGTTATTATATCAGAAATATTTGGGAAATTTGTTTTTATATTTATTGTTTTCCCAGCTTTCTATAATCAGTATATTATCAGCCTAAAATTTATATTTATTATTTTATTTATTTACTTTTGCTGTTTGTATTATATTTATTTATTTTTGCTGTTTGGGTCACACCTGCTAATGCACAGGGGTTACTCCTGGCTCTGCACTCAGGAATTATCCCTGGCAGTGCTCAGGGGACCATATGGGATGCTGGGAATCGAACCCAGGTCGGCTGCATGCAAGGCAAACGCCCTACCCTTTGTACTAATTGCTCCAGCCCCACCAGTATTATTTTTAAATGAATGAAATTAGAAGGTGAATCTTCAGATCATGAATCAAGAGCACATGAGAATCAAACAATAGAATACAGAGGAGGAACAGACACACCACTGCTTCCTTTCGTGAAGAAAAATTAGCAATTGAGCAGAGTAGATGTGCAGGGTTAACATGTTTAAAACTTTCAGTCTACTTTCTGGTACTTAAAGACATAGCAGATGAGCCTCTAAGTCCTTTCATAAGAAAGGAAGGAAGGAAGGAAGGGAGGGAGGGAGGGAGGGAGGGAGGAAGGAAGGAAGGAAGGAAGGAAGGAAGGAAGGAAGGAAGGAAGGAAGGAAGGAAGGAAGGGGAGAAATAAAAAGAAAGAAAAGAAAAAAGAAAAGAAAGGAGAAAGAAAAGAAAAAAGGAAGGGAAGGAAAGGAAGAGAAAGAAAGAAAGAAAGAAAGAAAGAAAGAAAGAAAGAAAGAAAGAGAAAGAGAAAGAAAGAAAGAAAGAAAGAAAGAGAAAGGAAAGAAACAAAGAAAGAAACAAAGAGAGACTTAAACAATTCAGTCTTTCCACACAACTCAACATGTTTATACTGAACCTGCTAAAAAGATCAATCATTTGTCAGCATTTAAAGTGTCCTCCCACGAAGTCATGAAATTTACATACAATTTACATGGTACTACATGGAAAGTATCATGTTAATCGAAATGACTCAGAAAGAAAGGAATAGACATAGAAAGATTGCATTCATCTGAGGAACATAAAGTAACAAAATAGGAGACTAACACCCAAGAATGGCCGAGATTAGTACCAGGAACTTTGCTCCATGGCTTGGAGGCCAGTCACATATGCTAGGGGAAAAGGCAGCTCAGATAGAGAAGGGAGCACCAAATAAAGGGTGTTGGGAGGATCCTCCCAGGATGGGAGAAGCATGCTGAAAGTAGACCATAGACCAAATATGATTGCCACTCAATGCCTCTTTTGCAGACCACAACACCCAAAAGGAGAGAGAGAACAAAAGGCACAGAGGCAGGGTGGGATGGGGGGGTTAGGGGGTGGGAGGGATACTGGGATTCGTGGTGGTGGGAAATGGGCACTGGTGGAGGGATGGATACTTGATCATTGTATAATTGAAACCCAAGCACAAAAATTTGTAAGTCTACAACTGTACCTCATGGTATCTCACTAATAAAAATAAAAAAATAATAAAGTGTCCTCCCATTAAAATAAAATTAGTACCTGGCTTGAACAAGGCCCACATGTGGTCCTTCTGTTCCAATTCCCAACATTAGAGCCACTTTCCCAACAAAATTCTTCTGTAAGTTAAATCGGCGCTGCCCGATATTAAAACTTCCATCAATCAGAAATGCAATGTCTGCTTTACAGTCTGTGAACACCCAAACAAGTTTTTGTGTTAGCAGTTTCAAAGGGAGACAGGGAAGAGAAAATGGCTCCTCCCTCAAACAGGCTCACCTTTATTACCAGCTTTCTTCTCAGATGTTTTCTTTAGTCGTTTACCTGAGACAAAGGAAACACTTGGAGTTAGCAAAAAGAAGACAGTTGCTTAGCAAGAGATCTTTGTGGGGAATAACATGACATGTCATTTTCATGTCATTCTTGAAAATACTTTAAAAGTTAATTTCCTCATAATTTTCTGGAAGGAAGAGGCAATCTCTACCCAAGGAAAGTCAGGACAGCAGCAGGCCTCCAATTTCACCTGCCTCCAATCCACAGCTTTGTTTCATCAAGCCACACTTGAGGCAGGACTGGAAACTCAGTGTTAGGTACTAAAACATTTAATTTATTTGACTTGGAAGTCTTAGAAAAGAGTTAAAATAGTTACACACTCATTCTTTTAATAATATGATAATGAATCTAGAAAATACTGGATTCTTGGTATTTTCACTCTGGCCAGGTTCTCAGAGGAAAACTGGTAGCAGTTCAAGAGACTATTTGGTAGTGGAGTTTATTATTGAAAAATAGAAGAAATGGGAATTTAAAATATAAAATGGAATGTTTCACATATAGTATTGACATTTTCTTTGTGTTCCCTTAACATCAATTTTTTTATAGGGGTAACACCCTGTAGTGATCCAAGGAGCCACATTTTTTAAAGGAAAGTGTCTATCAAGGAAACAAGTATAACTCCCAAGTACTAGGCTCAGTTATAGCTTCTATATCTCATACCTGTTGGTGGACGTGCTGTGGACACGATTCGTCCTGTGGCTTCCTGGGGACCACTTTTGCCTTCTGTGAAAATAAAGAGATCAATATGTCCCTTTCCATCTTTACTAACAAAGCATCAAAGCTCAATTAATCTAAGATTCTATGGGTTGATGCACATATTTGGAGTGGGGGCATTTGCGGGAGTAATTGCTCCATGCTCTTTCTAAGAATCCAGATGGATTATTCTCTTATTCTTATAAGAGATTGCTTTGAAGAATAATCCAAAGTGAATTCACATTCCCTCACTAGTCTTTTTTTTTTTAATTTAGAGTTGCATGGTAAATGCCAGGACACTTCATTGTAAAAAATACAAATTTCCATTTCTGACTTGTGATGGCAAGATTCTTCTCTTGCCCCCACCTCCACACATTTGATGAGTGAATCCTGGATCATCAGGTGTGAAACTCTAACCTATAAGTTGACCTCATCCGTCCTGCTCACAGCTGTTTTCTCTGTGTCAAAGAAGTTGGGTTGAGGAAAACAGAAAACTTTTTCCTGGGTGGGAAGCCATTTTTACCCGAGTAAGAACAATATAATTGTACCTACTTGTCACTGTGAAAGAAGCTGACCATCTGGAGAGCGACTGAGATTGGATACCATTGGCAACTACGGAGGAATAGTTTTCTCTGCCTGGCAGACTATAGATCCGTACTGGTCCCCCTGCGTTGCTGATGACTCCCCTATAACATGAAAATGACATGCTTTCCCAGACATCTGGCCCATGTAGAATGCCATGTTGCACACGAAGCTCTTAGTTAATTCAGAAAAGAGCAGCAGCAGAGATGCCATCTAAGGATGATGCCTGTCTTTGTAAAAACTTGCTTATCCAGGTACAAAAATCTGTCCCAGATGGGGTGGCAGCAAAAGTTGTATGTGGGGAGTTAGGGTAGTGGGGATGAGGGATGGTTTTATTCTGTCAAATCAGGGATTACTGGCTCTGTACTTAGGAATTATTCTTGGGGACCATATGGGGTTGGGGACTGAACCCTGAAAGGCTCTATCAAGGCAAGCACCTTATTCACTATACTATCTCTCCACTCCTCTGTCAAATTTCTTAAACATTATATGAACATGTAGTAGCATCCTGTTCCCTACAGCTCAGAAATTCAGTGCTCATAACTATTCTCTGAGAATCCTTGAACTACATGTTTTCTTGGATTTGATTTTCAAAAATGGTTTGCACTGGCCATTCTGTCGGAGGCTGTCCTGGAAACCCATTGCAGTCTTTGGACTTGCTGACTGCAGTGACCTGAGAAAAGGAGCCATCAGGCTCCAAATCCAGCTTCTTCCTCTCCATAGTGGAGTGACATGGTGAAGGTGGTAGAGTTGTCCCACAAGCTAAAACATTGGGTGGCAAGAATGCCATGAATACAGAGATGTAATGAGATGTAAGGCAATTGTTCTTTAGTCAGAAGTCCCTGGACCAGTGGGTGTTTTAGGTATAACCAGGGGGAAGAATGTAAATGCATCTGTAGTCTACAGCCAAAATCAATCCCACAAAGAGAAAAGGGTGGTGGAAGTCATGGATTCCTCAGGAAGGGAAAGAAATCAACTTCTGTTGTTTCACACTATCTGGCTTGTTTGCTTACCTGTGAACTGCAGCACCACAGATGCTTGACACGGAAGCATACACGATGTTGCCAAACACAGGGAACTCCTCCAGGGGACAGTCGCCTGGGCACAGCACATCTGCTTTCTCTCTCCGGATGTCCAGGCCTCTGGTGAAGCATGTGATCGCGATGGGAACTGAAGAGAAAGGAGGAAATGTAACCTCCTTCCTTAGGATTCGAAACTGCCTAATGGTGGTAGGAGTGGTGTGGAATGAGCCTCTGGGGTGCAAGCCCTCTAGTCTCTATAACTGGTAAGAATACTGAAGTATGTACCATTCCACCATTCCAGATCTGGAAAGCCCCAAAATTTCCAGCTTAATCTAGTCTTCAGACATGAGATGCATAAAGTCACTGGGAGCATTTTCTCAGATATTTCTCTCATTTTCGGTGGGGGTCCAGCAGTACCCAGGGGACAATGTGGTGCCAGGGATTAAAGTCTGAGTTTCAGCCTGTTACATGCTTTCTCTGGCCCTAAAATGTCAGCTATTTTTGGAGGAGTGGCTCTTTTTTTTTTCTCTTGTGGTGCCAATGATCAAACCCAGGTCTCATGCATGCACAAGGCATGTTCTTTACCCTGAGGCTAATGTCTAACCCTTAACTTTTAGAAAAGCACTGTAAATACTCTCAAGTTTTACACACTCAGTGCCACTAACAAGGAGTTAAAGCTTTTATTACATGTGTATTACATGCTTTTATTACATTATTTATCCTGGTAAATTTATCAAGATAATATAACAAGTTAATCCACCCATTTACTGTGACTATTAAATTGCTAATATTATTAAGAAAACTATTTTCTAAATACTGGAAAAGGTTACTAGCCAAATCTTTTTGAAATGTGCTAAAAAAAACCCCAAAAAACCCCTAGACCTTCCCAAGACGACATACTACTTAGTACCTGGTCATATTATTGAATCCCAGTAGAGCACTCGCTGCGAATCTGTACCTTGGCCTGTCAGGTCCAGAGTGGGGTGCAGGATAGCAGGGACTAGCCCCCAAATACACTATAATGCTCAAGAACTCAAAATCCTCGTCGAAAACAGCACCTCCAATCCGTAGCAAGGAGCCCAGGTGAGTGAGTCTGTGTGTGTGTGTGTGTGTGTGTGTGTGTCCCGGTGTGATACTTACCTTGATTCTTTCAAGGAAAACGGATTTTAGAAAAGACTGTCTTTTGGAGGTGCGGGTGTAGGGGGCTCTGAGCCATAGTACAGAAGGTATGGGAGCTTACCTTGCACGCTGCTAACCCGTATTGGATCTGCGGCACCCCTGGTCCCCCGAAACCTCATCAGGTGTGATTTCTGAGCGCAGAGCCAGGAGTATGGTCCGAGTAACCCCCCCTCCCCCGCCCAGTTCTACATAAAGGACATTTCTTTTTCAGATGCTCCGGCAATGAAAGGAACGTGCAAAAATGCTGCTTTTTATAGTGGTTTGTCTTAAGGGGGTGGCGGGGGGGGGGGGATCAAACAAAATGGGACAGCATGGGAAGTTCGTTTCTCCCTCTGCGTCTCTGCCTCTGCCGTTCGCCATCAGCTTTAACTTTGAAGTCGTGAGTTTCTGACCCCCAATACAGCGCAACACCCGGGTCGCGACTCCCCCAAGCCCCAGCCTCGACCTTCAGCTGTCTCTGTTCGACGTGCGGGAGCTCCTGGCGAGGCGAGGCGAGGGCAGGGGGGCTCTGTGGCACTGCCAAGGACGCCCCCATCGGTTGTGAGGGCAGAGACCGAGCCGGAGCCAGGAGCGGGGGGCGCGGGGTGGGTGCTGCAGGCGGGAGCCCCGATGCCCGGGCAGTTGCGCACTGGCACCGACTCGGGCCGTCGCACGGTGGTAGGTCGGATTGCGGGGTGGGGAGACTCGCAGAGCGGGTCTCACCCTCCCGCCGCGGGACCGAGCCCTTGGGTGCGGATCCGCCACTCACCCGCTCCCTCGGCGGCCGCGGGCTCCAGCGGCGACATCAGCAGCAGACACACACCTGCGGGCAGAAAGGACCCGGGATTGCTGGGGTCTGCACCCCGCTCGGCGTGAGGGGGCCACGGCCGCGAGTGGGGAGCGTACCCACCGACACAGAGGAGCGAGGTCCAGCCTGCGGACATGGTAGATGGGAGTCCAGGGGTGCTGACACCTGGGAAAGAGGGAGAAAGCGCAAGAGGCTGGTGGAGACCGCGGTTTCCACGTCCTCGCTGTCCCGTACCTCCCTTCTTCTCCTCGGAGCTCTGGTACCCCGCGCAAACCCAGGAACGGCCAGGCATGCGGGACCCTCAAGAAGCCCTTCCCCGCCCCCCGCATCGGGGAGCGGACGCCCCTCGCCACCTAGAAGCTGTGATGCTCCCGCTGCAGATGGAAGCAAACGGAGTGTCTCTGCACGGCCAGCAAGCAGCACGCCGGGGTGCACTCTGCAGACAGACAGTCGAGGGAGAAGGGAGGCGCTCGAACCGATGTCAGGGCTCTGCACCTGACTCGGATCCGCCCCGCTGCGCCCGAGTGCGGAGCGCCGGGCTCCCGCGGCCGCTATAAAGGCCGTGCCGCGCGCATGAGCACTGTGAGGGGGGCGCGGGAAGGGGGCTGGGAGCTCCCCGGGGGCCGGGCGGCGGCCTTCCACCCAGCTCCGCCCTCCCGGCTCGGCGACCCGCCGAATCCAGCACAGAGGCGCCTCCATCCCCCACAGCCCCCAGGGGCGCGGCGCGGGACACGGCCACCTGGACGCCACAGCAGTCCCTGCGGGGCGCGGGGGGCGTGGGCGCGAGCGTCGGGCCACACCGGGGCTGCGCCTCCTGGCGTCCAGGGAGAGCCCCGAGCCCCGGTGTTGTGGCCGCCCCACGTGCAAAGACTGCGCGAGCAAGCAGACACCCCCAGCCTCGCAGAAACAAAACAAAACAAAACAAAACACAAACTTCCCAGCCGCCTGCTCCCCAGAAAAACAGTTTCACTGCTGTCAAGTGAGACCGGTCAGAGTGAGCCAAATGCACTCACTCCCCGTCGAACGATTGGTTCTGCGGCCTCAAGGACCCGGCCTTGCTGCGGGAGAGGCGTGGGCTTTCTCCTAGCGGGCTCTAGTCCCCGCTCAGGACAGCAACGCTAAACATTTAGGAGGCCCCTTATTGTAATCTTTGCTTTCTCTTTTTTCAACCAGCCAGGAGAAAGGCCAAACTTTCGGTAGAACTAAAACTTGTCTTTTCCATCACTGTTTATCGAATGAATGCTCTCAGTTAGGGTTGGGCAACCTACTCCAGTTTGGCTGTCCAGATTGTCGGGATACTATATAATTAGGGACAGTTTACATGCTGGCCGAAGGAGTAAAATCCAAAGAACAAACAAACATCAAAGTCCCGCTCAGCAGGCAGGCGGCCCAGGGCCACGGAGAAAGCTAGCTCAGGCACCGTGAGAGTGAGCGCGCCCACGGGGCTCAGCCCCCAGGGATGTCTTCTCACCGAACCCTTTGGAACTTCAGGGCTCTTTTATCAAGGACTATTTAAAAAAAAAAAAAAGAAGAAGAAAAGAAAAGAAAAAACTAAAGGACCTACCTCGTTGACTTGCATGAGTTTACCCAAATTATTTTGCTTTTGAAACGCTGAAGAAAGCGAACTTTCATTTATTTATTTATTTACTTCTGCTTTGAAAGATCAACCCAGGAGACTTCTCGTGCTCCGAAGTCAGTACCTCATGCTGACTACAAGCCTGTTGAAGAAAAATCTCTGCACCCGAGGAGTACAGGCTTCTGCAGTGGATGTGCCTGGAAGAGAGTGGGAAAGTAAAGGAAACACTGGGTATGTTTGCCTTAAAACAGACAAATCATTAAGATGATGGGTTTTTTGGCGGGGGAGGGGGCGGAGATCAGGATTCTGGAGAGGTAGTGTTGCAGATAGGGCTTTTGCCTTGAGTCCAACTAATCAGTGTTCAATCCCTGGCACCACCTGGACCAGTCAGTCAGGAGGGATCACAGAGCGCACAGCAGGAGTAAACCCTGAGCAGCCCAAACCTAAAAACAAACCAAAATGTTAGTTTTGCATTCAGCTGGGTGACATTTTCATGCTCAGGTATGCCTGGTTTGTCCTGCTTTAATAAGAACATCTCATATTCAATATGGAGGGCTCTCTTAAGCACCGGAGCAGCCCACATCCCACCCTTGAGATTCTAATGGGAGTTGATTTGTGATGGTGCCATGGCATGCACAGTTTTTAAACTTCGTCCATGAGTCTTATGTATTTCCTTGACATAAAATACTTAGTGTATGTTAGAAGTTAAGCAGATCATTCTAGTTTCACATTCATCGTTCATTACATTTTCATTAAAAATCCACCTTCGATGGGCCTTCTGTGTCCCCTTGGTAAAACATGTTGCCTTCTCTGACCTGCTGGCCACTCGAGAGCAAATGTGGAAGTTCAGTTTTAGAAGTAATTTTTCAGAGCGAGTTGTCTTTGACTTGGAGCTGAATAACTAAATGACATCATTCGGCTTCAGGATACCACTGGCAGATGGAGAGAAATTTCTCTAGAACAGCATGGAGATCCAAGAGGGTTTGGCTCATTTTTCACATAGAGATGTGTCATTTTGTAGGACCCTCCTCTTGTCCTGTTCTTACCTAAGTAGGAGTCTGGAGTTTTGGGGGTTTCTTTTGGAAAAATACACATATTTTTAATTTTTATGATTTTTACATTAATTCTTCTCTCTTTTTTGCCAGGGGCAAAGTTATAGTTCTTTGGGATCACTCTTGGTAGGCTCCTTATAGAGTATCAGTAATTGAACTTGGGTTAGCGGTGTGCAAGATAAGCCCTACTCATAGTACTATCGCTCTGCCCCCAATTCTTTCTTTTCATTGAAGTACCATGACTTACAAAGTTATTCATAATTGAGCATCAGACAATGTCCCAACAGCAATTCCTTCAACAGTGCTCACTTTCCTTTACTAATGTCCCCAGTTTTCCTTCTACCCACTTCCCCCCACTCCACATCTATGGCAAACATCTTTCCTTCTCTCATTGGGCACTGTGTTTTTACAATACTGTTACTTACAGGGTTTCATGCATAAGATCTCTTTCTTTTTGTTTTAATTTTAAAGTAATATTAATTCTGTCTCACCCCCTATACATTTTTTTGGAGGAGTGGGTTTTGGGTCACAACCAGCTGTGTTTAGGCTAGTACTTCTGGCTCTGTGCTCAGGGATCACTCCTAGTGGTGCTCACAGGACCAATATTATAGTCATAGTGAGTGAATATACATTATTATATTGGGGATTCCATATCTCTTCCTATAGTATGTTCAGGGGACCATGAGTTTCTTGCCCAGGTAACATGTATAAAGCACACTCCAGGTCTTTGACTTACCCCTTCCCCAGTATACAGTATTATTGGCTAAGGCTTATAAATGATCCACATTTCCCTAAGTTTTACTTAATGTCCTTTTTCTATTCCTGAATCCCATTCAGGATATCACACTATATTGAGGGGAAACTTTTCTTAGAACCTCTGATGGGTGATGTTTTCTCAGATTGTCTCCAGACTGCTGACCTCGACAGTTTTGCAGAGAACTGGGCAGGTATTTTGTACCATGTTCCTCAGTTGGGATTTGTCTGGTGATTTTCTTATTAGACTGGCATTCTGTGTTTTTTGAGGAAGACCACAGAGGTGAAGCAACATTCTTATTCTATAATATCATGGGGACATACTGTCAACATGACTTATCACTATTGATGATGACCTGGGCCGTGTTGCTGAGATTGTGTTAGCTGTGTTTCCCCTCTGAAAGTGCCTCTTGCACTTCGCTTTTCTCTGCTCTTCTCTTTGGAAGGATGCCACTGTGTGCAGCCTGGCCAGTGGGGGGCTCTGTTCATTCCTCTGATAGGCACAGCTGCTATAAATGTTTAGTCATTCTGCAAAGATTTGTCTCTTCTCCCCTATTTGTTTACCTTTTTTTAAAAAGAAAAATGTGTGACAGTCTTTAGCGAGACTGTAAGCTTGAAGACTATTCTGTATGCTTCTCTATACTACAAAAGCTTGCACAATGCTTTGGAATACAGAATGAACACTTCAGTAAAGATGGGCCCATAGTTTCAATCCTGGGAGATTTCTGCAGATTTGGACCAGGAAGTTTGACATTTGGCTCTTGGCAGGGGTGTAATGAAAATGTTAATAATAGTGATCCTGTCACTGTGTCAAGATCTCAATACTTGTTCTTCTGCAAGCTTGGTGACATTTCTGCAAGATGGATATCATCTGAATTTAGAAATGAAGACACTGGCACCCAGATTGATTAAAAAAGGTGTTTACAGACACACCGCTAGAAAGCAGTGCTGAGACCAGATCTCTGAAGCTCATGCTCTCAATCACAATAAAGTCATAAAGAGGGCTAGGGATGTGGCTCAGTGAGAATCATACCTCACATGTCTGAAACCATAAGGAAAGGCTTCTGTAGGTATCAGAGGGTAATAGAAACAACAAGGGCTATAAAAATATGGAGAAAGAAGGACTAATTCTCTGAGTGGGAGTGCCTATGAGCTCTTCCAGAGGGGTTTGGCCTTTTCTGCTATGAAACTGGTGTATCCGCAATAGAAATGCATAATTTATGAGTTAGCATAAAACAATGATCAAATATTACTAGGTATTTCTAACACAAACCAGCCAATTCTGCTTATATTATTAACATTCAGGTCAAGCAGTAATTTCTAAAATATATTTCTATGAAGGAAAAAAACCCCTACAGTGTACGATTGGAGGGCTAAGTGCTAATCCCAAGCCCTTTTCTCCAGAGATTCACTTAGAAATGACTTTTATAACATGCATATTAGAGGTCTATTCATGCTCTGCATCCCTGGGAGATGCGGTTGATTTGTGGTATAGCAGTCAGATGACAGTGACAGTGGTGGTTGGTTACTAGGAGTCTTTTACCCAGTAAGCTTTGTTGAGTGAATCACTGGGATCTGAAATACAATATGTTGTACATGTGTTCTTGGGGAATTATATGTTGATGATGCAGTTAAAATATGAAGTTCTTAGTTTCTTATGGAACAGAGTATCAGCTGAATACAAATTATTATACATAGCAAAGGTCAATTCCTCTGTTATACATTAATTGTTAAAGGTTTGGGCATGGAAAGCAGCTCTCTGAAACAAAGTAAAGATAAACTGAAACATTTAATGAGTCTTAATTCCATCCCTAGTCTTCCAGTTTTAATGTTGTACTGTAAAAGTATTTATATATTGCAGATAATCATTGAAGGAATTCTAATATTTTTCTAATATAAATTTAATAAAATATAAGACACATTATTATTAATGTAATTTTATTTTTATGTTATATTTTAAATGTAATTTTATTTTTATTTATTTATTTTTTTTGCGTCACACCTGGCGATGCACAGGGGTTACTCCTGGCTCTGCACTCAGTAATTACCCCTGGCGGTGCTCAGGGGACCATATGGGATGCTGGGAATCGAACCCAGGTTGGCCGCGTGCAAGGCAAACGCCTTACCCGCTGTGCTATCGCTCCAGCCCCCTTAAATGTAATTTTAAAAACAAAAAATGATCT